GGGCCCAGACCGGGACCCACCGCACCCCTCCCGGGCCCCACCTGCCGCAGCACGAGCGGGAGGCGGCGGCACGGCCAGACCCGGACCCTCGCCCTGAGTTCCTGCTGGTGCGGGACAGCCTGAGGAAGATGAAGCTGGCAGAGCCGGGCGCCCGGCAGACATGAGCAGGAGCTGGCCTGGCGGAGACGGGGGGCTGCTCCCCGGGACCCCCACGGCAGCACAGTGGGCTCCCCCCTGTCCCCAGCACATCCCGGCACTGGGAACGGCGCCCGGTGCTGTCATTCTGGGAGAGCTCGTGGTCGGGGACAGCCGCGGGTACCGCGTCCCCAGAGCCGTGAGAACCAACGTGCCAAGGCCTGGAATGAGCTGGCAGAGCCAGGGCAGCGCCGGGGGCGGCGCAGGCATGTGGCGGGCAACCGTCTCACCCCAACCTGCACCTGCTCCAGCTCTCTCTGAAAAAAAAACCCAACACCAAGAAAATAAAAGTTTTCATCTGGTTTTCTTGATGCAAATATGCCAGGGACGGGGACAGGGATGGGGTGGCATTGGCTTGGTTGACTGCGTGCGGTGGGGATGGAGGGTGGCCGCTGTGGGGGAGTTGCAGGGTGGGTTGGTGGCCAGTGGCTCCGTTCAGTGGTGGCCCCCCCAGCCCAGATGCAGGTTAGTGTCCACCTGAGGCCTTTAGCCATGACCTGGTGGAGTGGAGCCTTCTTCAACCCCCTAGGCTTCCTCTCCCCCCTCCTTTTTTGGGGGTTTCTTTCTTCTCTTTTTTTTTTTTTTTTTTTCTGTTTCCAAAATTAAACGCGCTTTACCTCCTGCCCCTTCCACCCTGCAGCCCTTGCCCCGTTGGCAAGGAAGTGCAAGGTGCTGTTTTTGAGCAGATCTCAGATCAACAACCCAACCGCTGGGTGCGGCGAGCACCGCCCCGGGCACCGGGGAGGGCACGCGGCCACCACCATGGCTCCCGAGGAGCTCGCTGCCTTGGCTGACTACGATTACTCACCGGTGTCCAACGGGACAGGGAACTGGGAGGTTGTGTTCACCACTGTCTTCATCCCCATCCTCTACTCCTTCATCTTCCTCCTTGGCCTCGTGGGGAATCTCTTTGTCATTGTGCTGATGGGCAAGAAGAGCCGGGGCAAGAGGATGGTGGACACCTTTGTGCTGAACCTGGCGGTGGCCGATGTCATCTTCGTCTGCACGCTGCCCTTCTGGGTGGTGGCGGGGGCGCGGGGGAACCGCTGGCTGCTCGGCGAAGGGCTCTGCAAGGTGAGCAGCTACGCCATCGCCGTCAACCGCTGCTCCAGCATCCTCTTCCTCACCGCCCTCAGCGTGGAGCGCTACCTGGTCATCAGGAAGGTGCTGGACACCAAGATGGTGGGTTCCCAGAGGCACATCCACGTCACCTGCGGCATCATCTGGGCCGTGTCCCTCCTCCTGGGTGCCCCGTCCCTGGTGTACCGGCGGCTGGATGGGGATGACTGCTGGGATGGAGATGGGGAGGACTTCAGCCTGGCCATGGTCTTCCTCACCTTCCTCCTGCCCTTGGGCGTCATCTCCTTCTGCTACTGCTCCATCTACTGCCGGCTCCAGCGGCACGTCCGGCTGGGCAGGGGCGTCCGGCGTTCCCACCGCGCCATCGTCACCATCGTCGCAGCCTTCCTCTGCTCCTGGCTGCCCCTCAACGCCTGCAAGGTTCTGCTCTTCTTCCTCGCCAAGGGGACGCTGGTCCTGTCCCAGGGGCAGGAGGTGGCCCTGAGGTGGGTGCTGGCCGGCAGCACCTGCCTGGCCTTCGTTAACAGCTGCGTCAACCCCCTCGTCTACGCCCTGATGGACGGACGCTGCCGTCCCCGATGTCCCTTCGGTCCCTGCACACCGGGGACGGGTCCCGCCGTGGCCGCCCCCTCCTCCACCACTGACTCCAGCCTCCTCTTTGGTGCCTGGATCTGGACCAAGACCCCCCCC